GGGGGGGGGGTTGCCGCTGGCGGCGCAGGCCAACTCCGCCGGGGTCCCCTCCACCCACAGCCGCCGCGCCGGGCACCCCGACTCCCCGATACTGGGTTCATCTGGAAAACGGGGAGGGATGTGGCATGAGGTGGGGGGGTACCGGGTGCCATTTGGGGCATTTTGGGGGTGCAAGGGACCAACCGTCACCCCCTGCTCCCCACCCGGTGCCCACGGGACCGGCACAAAGGCAGACAGGCCTTGGCACCCCTGGCACAGCCCTGGTATTCCCAGTATCACCACAGCATCCCTGGCACAGCTGGAATTCCCACTATGGATAACGGCATCTCTGGCACAGCCAGATCCCCAGCCCATCCCTGGCATCTCCATCCCAACCCTGGCACCACCAGATCCCCATCCCGACCCTGGCATTACCAGATCCCTGTCCTATCCTGGCATCCCCATCACCATCAGATCCCTAATCCCATCCTTGGCATCCCTGGCATCACCAGATCCCCATCCCAACCCTGGCATCCCTGGCACCACCAGATCCCCATCCTGACCACGGCATCACCAGATCCCCGTCCCATCCCTGGCATCACCAGATCTCCGTCCCATTTCTGGCATCACCAGATCTCCGTCCCATCCTGGCATCCCTGGCACTGCCAGATCCCCATCCCATCCCTGGCACCATCAGATCCCCATCCCAACCCTGGTATCACCAGATCCCCATCCCATTTTTGGCATCACCAGGTCTCCATCCCATCCTGGCATCCCTGGCATTGCCAGATCCACTTCCTGACCTCGGTATCACCAGATTGCCCTCCCATTTCTGGCATCACCAGATCCCTATCCCATCCCAACCCTGGCATCACCAGGTGTCCATCCCATCCTGGCATCCCTGGTACCACCAGACCCCAATCCCAACCCTGGCATCACCAGATCCCCATCCCATTTCTGGCATCACCAGGTCTCCATCCCATCCTGGCATCCCTGGCACCTCCAGATCCTCATCCCAACCCTGGCATTTCTGCCACCACCAGATCCTCATCCCAACCCTGACACCACCAGATCTCTGTCCCAACCCTGGCATCACCAGATCTCTGTCCCATCCTGGTACCACCAGCTCCCCATCCCATCCTGGCATCCCTGGCACTGCCAGATCCTCATCCCTGTCCCATCCCTGGCATCACCAGATCCCCATCCCAACCCTGGCATCACCAGATCCCTGTCCCAACCCTAGCATTACCAGACCCCATCCCATCCCTGGCACTGCCAGATCCCCATCCCATCCTGGCATCCCTGGCACCGCCAGATCCCCATCCTGACCACTGCATCACCAGATCTATGTCCCATCCTGGCATCACCAGGTCTCCATCCCATCCCTAGCATCCCTGGCACCACCAGATCCTCATCCCTGTCCTATTCCTGGCATCATCAGATCACCCTCCCATTTCTGGCACCACCAGATCCCCATCCCATCCCTGGTATCACCAGATCCCCATCCCATTTCTGGCACCGCCAGATCCCCATCCCATCCTGGCATCCCTGGCACCGCCAGATCCCCATCCTGACCACTGCATCACCAGATCTATGTCCCATCCTGGCATCACCAGGTCTCCATCCCATCCCTAGCATCCCTGGCACTGCCAGATCCTCATCCCTGTCCTATTCCTGGCATCATCAGATCCCCATCCCAACCCTGGCATCACCAGATCCACATCCATGGCCATCCCTGGCATCACCAGATCCCCCTCCCATTTCTGGCACCACCTGATCCCCATCCCAACCCTGGTATCACCAGATCCCCATCCCATCCTGGCATCCCTGGCCATCCCTGGCACCAACAGACCCCAATTCCATCCCTGGCATCACCAGATCCCTGTCCCATCCCTGTCCCCACCAGATCCCCATCCCAACCCTGGCATCACCAGATCTCTGTCCCATCCTGGCATCACCAGGTCTCCATCCCATCCCTGGCACTTCCAGATCCTCATCCCAACCCTGGCACCACCAGACCCCATCCCGATCCCACCCCTGGCACCACCAGATCCCTGTCCCATCCTGGCATCACCAGATCTATGTCCCATCCTGGCATCCCTGGCACCACCAGATCCTCATCCCTGTCCTATTCCTGGCACCATCAGACCCCAATCCCAACCCTGGCACTACCAGACCCCAATCCCATCCTGGCATCACCAGATCTCTGTCCCATCCCTGGCCCCACCAGATCCCCATCCCGATCCCACCCCTGGCCCCACCAGATGACTCACACTCGACGGTGACCACCACGCTGCGGACGGCCGAGCCGTGCTTGTTGGTGGCCCGGCAGACGTAGCGCCCGGCGTCGGCGCGGCTGACGGCCCGGCTGCCCCGGCTACGGGTGGCACCGCCGTCACGGGCACAACGGGTGCTGGGAGGGGGGTCCCCATCGGCGCGACACCCCAACTCCCTCCGCTCCCCCTCCACCCAGGTACGATGGGCCGGGCAGCCCCTCTCCGTCAGGGTGGGCTCGTCTTGGGGGGACGGGGACAGAAAAGAAGGGTTTTGGTTAGTGCCGGTGCCACCAGGGCGGCCGCGGCGGGAGATGGTGGCACCACTCACACTCCACGCGGACGGTGACCAGCCGGCTCCGTGTCCCCAAGGCGTTGGTGGCGTTGCAGAGGTAGGTGCCAGCACGGGACCGGGTGACCAATTCGGGTTCCCCGGTCCCGACGGTGACGCCGTTGCGGCCGCAGACCACGGTGGGCGCGGGGTTGCCGGTGGCACGGCAGGAGAGGGCTTCCCGCGTCCCCCGTAGCCACGTACGGTTGCCGGGACAATCGGTGGGTGACATTTCGGGCATGTCTGGAAAAGAAGGATGCACCGGGAATGCCGGGAGCAACCGGGAGCACCGGGAGCAACCGGGAGCAACCGGGAGCAACCGGGAATGGCCTCACCCCACCCCGGCGCGGCACTCACAGAGCACGGCGAGCCGGGTGTCCCTCTCCTTTGTCACCACGGCGTCACCGATGGCCAGGCTGGCTCGGCACCCAAATTGTTGCCCATCATCCTCCCGCCGGGCCACCAACCGGAGCTCCAGGGGGGATTCGGGACCCTCGGCCAAGACCCCGCCATATGGCCTCACCCCACCCCGGCGCGGCACTCACAGAGCACGGCGAGCCGGGTGTCCCTCTCCTTTGTCACCACGGCGTCACCGATGGCCAGGCTGGCTCGGCACCCAAATTGTTGCCCATCATCCTCCCGCCGGGCCACCAACCGGAGCTCCAGGGGGGATTCGGGACCCTCGGCCAAGACCCCGCCATCGGCATCACGGAGTTGCAGCCGGACGGCCGGAGGTTCGGCGACACCGGCGCGGCACGTCACCGTCACCTCCTCACCCTCCGGCACCGCCGCCGGGATCAGCTCCAGGATGGGCTCCAGGAAGCCTACAGAAAGGTGTTGAGATTCCCAAATTGATTTTTTTTGGCTCAACCATCCGGTTGTCCCCACCTCCCGGTGCCTTACGGTAGACGTGGAGCTGCCTCCGTGCCGTCCGTGCCGCCGTCGCCACCGCCGCGGTGCAGACCAGCTCCTGGTGCCCCGGGGAGGTGGGTGACAAGATGGTGGTGGCCGTCAACACGTCCCCGGTCGCTGTGATGGTGACGTTGAGGTTCTGCCCTTCCAGGGTGATGGTGAAGTGGACATCCCCCGCCGGGAAGGCGCCGGTGATCCGGCAACTGGCGTTGGCGACGGTGCCGACCTCCAAGATGGTGGGTGCCTGGAGCTGGGGTGGCTCCGGGAGGGCTGTGGGGACACGGTGTCACCGGGACCGTGCCTGGGTGGGGGATTGGGATGGGATGGAGATGAGGATGAGGATGGGATGAGGTTGGAGATGGGATGAGGATGGGAATGGGGATGGGGACTGGGATGAGGATGAGGAGCTGCCGGGAGGGTGTTGTGCCAAGGTGGGAGCTGGGATGGGGATTGGGGTGGGATCTTCATCCCATGATGGGGATGAGGATGAGAATGGAGATGGAATGGAATGGAGACGGGATTGGGATGGGATGGAGATGGGGACGGGGATAGAATGGGGATGGGATGGAGATGGGGATGGGGAAAGATGGGAATGGAGATGAGATGGGATGGGATGGAATGGAGATGGGATTGGAATGGGATGGAGATGGGGATGGGGAAGGAATGGAGACGGGATGGAGATGGGATGGGGATGAGATGGGGACTGGGAAGGGACAGAACGGGGACTGGAATGGGATGGGGATGGAATTAGGATGGGATGGGATGAGGATGGGATGGAGATGGAAATGGGGACGGGATGGAGAGGGGACGGGATGGGGATGGGATTGGGATGGGATTAGGATGGGAGAGGATGGGGATGGGGACTAGGATGGAAATGGGATGGGGATGGGGACAGGACGGGGACTGGGATGGGATGGGGATGGAATTGGGATGGGATGGGATGGCTACTGGGATGGAGATGAGGATGGGGATGGGATGAGGTTGGAGACGGGATGGAGATGGGATGGGGATGAGATGGGGACTGGGAAGGGACAGAACGGGGACTGGAATGGGATGGGGATGGAATTAGGATGGGATGGGATGGATACTGGGATGGAGATGAGGATGGGGATGGGATGGGGTCGGAGATGGGATGGAGATGGGAATGGGGATGGGGACAGGACGGGGACTGGGATGGGATGGGGATGGAATGAGGATGGGATGGAGATGGAAATGGGGACGGGATGGAGATGGGACGGGATGGGGATGGGATTGGGATGGGATTAGGATGGGAGAGGATGGGGATGGGGACTAGGATGGAAATGGGATGGGGATGGGGACAGGACGGGGACTGGGATGGGATAGGGATGGAATTAGGATGGGATGGGATGGATACTGGGATGGAGATGAGGATGGGGATGGGATGGGGTCGGAGATGGGATGGAGATGGGAATGGGGATGGGGACAGGATGGAGATGGGGACTGGGAAGGGACAGGACGGGGACTGGGATGGGGATGGAATTAGGATGGGATGGGATGGATACTGGGATGGAGATGAGGATGGGGACTGGGATGAGGATGGGAATGGGGATGGGAATGGGGACTGGGAAGGGACAGGATGGGGACTGGGATGGGATGGGGATGGAATTAGGATGGGATGGATACTGGGATGCGGATGGGATGGAGATGAGGATGGGATGAAGATGAGGATGAGGATGGGGATGGGATGGGGTTGGAGATGGGATGAGGATGGGAATGGGGATAAAACAGGATGGGGACTGGGATGGAGATGGGATGGGATGGGGATGGGATTGGGATGGGAGAGGTTCAGGATGGGTTTGGGATGAGGATGGGGACAGGGACATGGTGTTGCCGAGCTTCTCCCCATCTCCTTCCACCCACCACGGCAGCCCCCCCCAGCTCCATCACCGGATCCCGATGGCACCGCGAAGGACTCACCGAAAACGGAGAGCTTTATGGGGCCGGCGGCGCGGGCGAAGAGGGGTCCGGGATGGGATGGATACTGGGATGCGGATGGGATGGAGATGAGGATGGGATGAAGATGAGGATGAGGATGGGGATGGGATGGGGTTGGAGATGGGATGAGGATGGGAATGGGGATAAAACAGGATGGGGACTGGGATGGAGATGGGATGGGATGGGGATGGGATGAGGATGGGGATGGGATTGGGATGGGAGAGGTTCAGGATGGGTTTGGGATGAGGATGGGGACAGGGACATGGTGTTGCCGAGCTTCTCCCCATCTCCTTCCACCCCACCACGGCAGCCCCCCCAGCTCCATCACCGGATCCCGCCGGTGCCGTGAAGGACTCACCGAAAACAGAGAGCTTGACGGGGCCGGCGGCGCGGGCGAAGAGGGGTCCGTGTGGCCTGAGGGAGAGCTCGGCGTGGCAAGTGACGTCCTGGCCGTGGTCGCCGGGGCCGGCGGTCAACAGGTGACTGACGGCCACGTTGACGCTCCCCTCGGCGGCCCCAAAACTCTCCGTCCGTAACGTTTCGCTCCCTTTTCTTAACGTCACCGTCAAGTTCCCCACCGGGGCCACCTCCACCACCCGGCACGTCAGGTTCCTGCTCTCCCCCACCGCCACCGGGGCCACCGGTTCCAACACAACCCTCTCCGGCAACCCTGGGAGGAGATGATGGAGGGCCACCACCCATCAATTCATAGAATCATAGAATTGCCCAGGCCGGAAGGGACCTCCAAAGGTCATCTAGTCCGACCTCCCCACAGTCAGCAGGGACACCCCCAACTAGACCAGGTTGCCCCATCGAGCCTCTCCTTGAATATCTCCAGGGATGGGGCCTCAACCACCTCCCTGGGCAACCTGTTCCAGTGCTCCACCACCCTCACAGTCAAGAACTTTCTCCTCATCTCCAACCTAAATCTGCTTTTCTCCAGTTTGAAGCCATTTCCCCTCGTCCTGTCACTGCAGGCCTTTCTAAACAGGTTCTCCCCAACCTTCTTGTAGCCCCCTTCAGATCCTGGAAGCTGCTCTAAGGTCTGCCCGGAGCCTCCTCTTCTCCAGGCTGAACACCCCCAGCTCCCTCAGCCTGTCCTCGGAGCAGAGGTTGCTCCATCCCCCTGATCATCCTCGTGGTCCTCCTCTGGACCCTCTCCATCAGGTCCATGTCCTTCTTATATTGAGGGCTCCAGACCTGCACACAACACTCCAGGTGAGGTCCCACCAGAGCAAAGTGGCAGAATGACCTCTCTGGACCTGCTGGCAACGCTTCTTTTGATGCAGCCCAGGATGGGATTGACCTTCTGGGCTTCAAGTGTCCCCTGCCTGCTCCTGTCCAGCTTCTCCTCCACCACCACCCCCAAATCCCTTTCCTCAGGGCTACTTTCCAATCCCTCACCCCCCAGTCTCTACTGATGGCCAGGATTATTCCAGCCCAGGTGGACTTGCTCGTCTTGAACCTCATGAGGTTCACCTGGACCCACCTCCCCACCCTCTACTGATGGGGAGGATTGTCCCGGCCCAGGTGCAGAACCTCACATTTGCTCTCGTAGAACCTCATGAGGTTCACCTGGGCCCACCTCTCCATCCCCCACCCCCCCCAAAAAAACCACCACCACCACCACGTCACCGTGGTGTCCCACCATCATCACCCCAACACTCACGGTAGACGAGGATGCCGGCGCTGGCGTTGACTTGGGTGGCACCACAACGCCCGTAACACGTAGCGGGGCCGGGGTTCCACCGGGAGACGTTGAGGAGCCGGAAGCTTTGCCAACGGACCCCCCCGGCCCCCAAAATCACCTCCAAGGGGGTGTCCAACCCCAAAGTGACGTTGCCCCCCGGGCAGGCGCTGCGGCTGCAGTTGATGGCCACCGAGCCCCCAAAGGGCACCACGGCCACCCGAGGCCAGGCCCCCACCGTGAACGTGCCCCCGGCGACCCCTACGAGACCC